CGTAAATCAATATGCAGGCAAAGATGTTGCTGTATCAATTACTGGTCTAATCCAAAATGAAGATGGTATGTATATATATAAATAAATTCAGAAATGATACGAACAATCAAGGGTATGTTCAATCAACTTTCAAAACTGAAATAAAAGGTACATTGTTCATGTTTATATTAATATTACTATTATTATATATGTGTAGCTTGTGAATATATTGATTACGATCGAGATCAAGCTGAATTAAAAAAGAAAAGTATCATACAACGTGAGAAAAATATTCGAGGACAAGTTTCATCTTGTAAAACATCAATTTGGATTTCCTGTCCTAAATGTAAAAATCGAACAGATTCAAATGATATAATTGTAACATGTACGAATTGTAACTCAAGTTTTCGATCAAAAAATCAAACACTTAAAGTAGAAGTAACGGTCGAAGGTAAATATTAATAAACTTTCATTTTCTTATCCTTTCTGCTATGCTATATCATTGTAATCTTATTTTCGATTATCTTATTTAATATCAAATAATTGTGTTTATATATATATACATAGATGAATACAACAAACAATATAGCTTAACTATATATAAGGATGAATTATTAACAGTTATAGAAAATCCAGATACTAATCGAATCAATACTTTCTTCTTAAATGATAATCTATTCGAATTCACTGTAAACTGTCGATCATTAAGTGTTGTTCGAATCAAAAGTGAGTCTAACACATTTTCTTATTCAATATCAAATATTTATTCTGTTTAGAGATTCAATAAACAAAAGTAAAACTCAACAACAGCATACATCAATAAATACAATGTTTTTTTTTCATAATAAAAAATAATAAATTCTATAATATGTAACATGTTTGCTAAATAAATTACAAATTTCATTGACATAAAAAGCAAATCACAAATAATAAATTATCATAATATGCATGATGGCTAACAAACTCCTTGTTATATTGAACAAGTCTAAATTTTTGACAATCGAAATTATGTTCTCCAATTATTTTATCTGGTAATAAATTTCGAACTACAGATGACGCTATAAATCTGTAATCAAGTTTTGTCTCCATTGAAAGAAAAACGCTAACAAAAGATTTGAGTCTCAACGAAACTTTTCATAATAAATACTATGAAAAAAAAAATCCCCTTTTAAAAATCATTTAAATCACACGAAAAAAAAAATAACGTAGATATTTTAGGTTATTTATTCTGTACTTACAAAGTCTAAACAAAAATGAATATGTAATTTATATATTAAACTCATATGTATACACATTTATATGATACATACGATACAATAGTATTTTAACAGATAACTTCACTTTGATTGTTAATAAAACAGTTTAAAATAAAAAACCGACAAATTCACATTTCGAAAGCCCCTAAATTTTTGTTTTCAATATCTGAACGATGTTGAAAGCATCCAATTCGTGCTCCATAAATATTTCTTCAGCAAAACCATCGTAAAAAAGCAAAAAAAAACGTACTATAGCGAATGTTCGGTCTTCTTTACAAAATTATTATCCACATATGATTAAATAGCGCATGACTCAGTCTTAAAAAATCATTTATATCTTACATTTTATGTGCATATATACTTTATTTATCGTTTTGCATAGCTTAAATTTATCCATGAACAAGTCCCAAACATTTAAAAAAATCTCTTCATGGTTTAGACAGATGAGACGATGAGCGATAATGAACAGCTGAGAGCTTCCTTATATGGAAATCTACGATTCAGATTCATTATGATTTCCTCTACTTTAATTATCGTCTTGCACAGCTTAAATTCATTCATGAAGGAGTCTAAAACGTTTAGAAAAATTTCTGCATGGTTTATACATATCAGATACAAAGAACGATAATGAACAGCTGAGAGCTTCCTTATACGAATATCTATGATTCAGATTCATTATGATTTCCTCTACACGAGTCTTAGGTTTAGAAATCGTAGATGTCGTATAGGATCAGATTTCGATATTTTTCGGGCTCTGCAGTCAGCCGACTTCTCTAGCCGGCCTCAGGCCGGGTGGAGGTCTAGTCTTCTTCTTCTTCTTCTCAACACATGAGTCACGATTCAAGTCAGCCACTCGTTCTCAGCTCCTGAGTATCATTTTTAGTCGGAAAAAAGCTTGCCGAGATCCTGAGAATGTGACGAGTGCACATCTGAAATCCGTTTTTCGAAATTCTGCAGCGTTCGGGAGATGTAAATAATGCCAGAAATGATAATGAACAGCTGTTAATTTCCTTATATGGTTATACATGACTCACTCTTAAAACACCATTCATTTAACAGATCTTATGAGACGATGAGCGATAATGAACAGCTGAGAGCTTCCTTATATGGAAATCTACGATTCCGATTCATTATGATTTGCTCTACACAACTCTTGGGTATAGAAGTAGTAGATGTCGTATAGGACCAGGTTTTGATATTTTTCGGACTCTGCAGTCAGCCGACTTTTCTAGCCGGCCTTGGGCCGGGTAGAAGTCTAGTCTTCTTCTTCTTCTCAACACATGAGTCATGATTCAAGTCAGCCACTCGTTCTCAGCTTCTGATTATCATTTCCAGTGGAAAAAAAGTTTACTGAGATCCTGAGAATGTGACGAGTGCACATCTGAAATCCGTTTTTCGAAATTCGGCCGCGTTGGGAAGATATAGAAATGCCGAAAATGAATAATTAACAGCTGATAATTTCGTTATAAGGATACGCATGATTCAATCTTAGATGACCATTCACATCTAGGATGGTAAGTGCATACATATTTTAATTAATTATCGCCTTGTGCCACTTAAAATCGTTCATGATAAAGTCTGAAACTTGTAGAGAATCTTTTGAAATGGCGACTTCACGATTGAAATAAACATAGAGAAAAACGATAATTAACAGCTGATAGCTCCTTTATGTGATGATGAATGATTCAATCTTGAACCAACCATTCATATGTTAGACGTTAAATGCATATACATTTTAATATATTGTCGCCTTCTGTGATTTAAAATCATCCGTCATGAGGTCTCGAATGTTGGAGAAAAATTTTCGAATGGCTACCAAGGAATGAGCTATCATTTTAAAAGAATTGAACATCTAGTCTGCAGTCAGCCGACATTCCATCTAGCGCGTAGTACTGAATGGCAGTCTAGTTTTTAATTCCATTTAGATCTCATAATGATCCATAATTAAACTAAAACAGTTATTTATCATAAATAAAATATCTACATTCGATTCGATTCGATCCGGCTAGTTTCACAATGGTATTTTAATCATTGTTTAACAATGTTTCTTTAAAATAATTTATTTGGCAGATGTCGCTCATTCAGATAAAAGACGCCTGGAGATAAATTTCTTGGTGAGAGTCTGACGAATCGAAGCAAACGAACAGGAGAACATACCTTACTTTATGTTTCTGAGAATTATATATTATATCTTTCAATTATCTAATAGTGTTGCCACTTTTACTTGTATTAGAATGATTATTTTAGATATTTATATCATTGAATTTTATTTAAGGCAATTATATTTCATATTTTTACTTTTGTTTTTATTTGTAAAATTCATTTTCTATCGATTTATTCCTTTTATTCTATTATATTTATCGGTTGACCAATAATGAATGTTCACACTTTTCATTTTATATATTCATCTCTAAATAAGTGTCATCAAAAACTAAAATATACCACAAGATGCAGCGTAAAAAGCTCTACAATTCCCCAAGGAAAGCTTATTTTAATTGTCTACTTTTTGTATAGAAAAAAAACCCCAAAATACTGCGATCAATTTTCGACGCTACGAACAGATAACATGAAAAGACATTTCTTTTTTCTTATTTCATCATTTCATCTCCTAATATGTTTTCGTAAAAAAAACAAAATCTACCACAAGATGCAGCGTGGAAAGCTCTACAATATATACAGGTGATGAAAAGATGAAATACGAAAAAAGATAATTCCTTGTTTGTGTTATCTTTTCTCAGCGTCGAAATTTGGTCGCCCGAAGTTTTGACGATTTTGAACACAAAAAGTGCAACTGTAAAAGAAGCGATCTTATGCAAATTGTAGAGCTTTTCACGCTGCATCTTTTGGTATATTATATGAAAAAAAGTTCTTTGAAATTTTTCTATTAATATCGATGAGAAAATGTCGCGAACTTTTTTCACTTACCTTAATTGAAGAGATTGACATAAAACTGTGCAAGAATGAGATCGCTAAAATTTAATGTAATTAACCCTTTCAGAATGGGATTAGTTTTTTTTGGAAAAATTCAAAGATAATTAAGTTAATAGAATCGACGATTGATTCTTCTATATCTGACTGTAAGATATTTTGTGAATAAAACGATCTAATATTATTTAACTTATTTTTTCATTGAAGTTTATAGAAGATTTTAATATATTAAATAAATTGAATGTAAAGAAGTTAAATATAGATATTCTCTTTAAATAATATAAGACTATTCAAATATATTTATTTAACAAATTTTAATATAATAAGAAAAAAAAATGAGTCGAATATTTGAAGAAAAAAGTTCTATGATGAATCAATGAAATTAATCAATTATTTATTGAATTAGAACGAATTTAAAATGGAATATCGTTTAACAAATGTTTTGTGTATGTTGATTGATTTTCCTAATATGATTTCAAAAAAGGTGATCTCAACGATATGAACATCTTCTTTTTTGTTTTTCTAAAGATAATATTCTAAGAGAAATTCATTTTTATTTTAAAGTAATTAACTATTTCTGCGTTGTTTTTTTTTGTTGCTCTCAGTTAAATATAAAGTAAAGAATAAATGTAAATGAATTGTTATAATCATCTGCTTTGATAAAACATAAGTAAAATGAATAAAAGAAAAAGAAAAAGTAAATCAACCTTGATGAATCATATTGTCCAATCTCTCTAATGCATACTGCTTTCTCTTATTCTATATATATATACACTTGCTCGTTTAAGAACGACGTGTTTTTTTTTTCTTTTGTAAATGTATTCATGCGACTCTTTTGCGAACTTTTTTTTCTTTTCTTTCAACCAATCAGTTATTTAATATTAATTCTCAATAGTGCATTTATTTTTAAAGACTTTATTTCTAAAGATACTTTTTTTTTGTTTTATTTTTATACTATATTAGTTCATTTTTTTAAGATAAATCGATCACAAAAAAAAAAAATAATTATTGAATGTTTGATTAAATTGAATAGTGAAATATATAATATAATTAACGGTAAATAATCTCTAATAGTTAAATAATAAATGGCTATTAAATCATCTGAAGAATCTCAAAGAGGAATAAATGTATATTTGAGTCATCCATGGTATTTAATTAAAAGTGGTTATCTTATTCTTACATGGATTGTTATGGTAAGTTTTATAAATAAATTTGGTTAAATTTAACTTTAAACAAAATAAATCTTTTGATAAATAAACACTCTTAATTAGATTAATTATTTATTTATTTATTTATCAATAAGTCAATTGTTAATTGACTTTTTTTTTTGTCCGATAATAGAAAGAAGACACTTTATTCGATCATAACAAATATATTTAATAAAAAATCTTCTTCACTTTTTCTTTTTTTTTTCTCTTGGAATATAAAACTCAACAAATCTTAGTTATATGTTATATTATCTATCAAAAAATAAAAACTTGAAAATATGGAGAAAAATCATAGTCAATTATAATAATATGAAAGATTTGTTTATTTTACCGTTTCTTCATTTGAGATTATTTAGTCAAACAAAAAAAAAAATGATTTTAATAGACTGATCAATTGAACAAGACTTCAATTTAAATTTATCATTCATTTATATATAGATAGATATTAGTTGCTTTTTTTAAGATTTTCTTTAAAAATAAACATTTTTTATTTTGACTATATTTTAATATTGCCTTAATATATATATATATACACAGAGAATAGAAATATTTTTTTATAATAACTGAATTAATATATTGATTTAATATAAAAAAAAACTAATTAAATGATTAAAAAAAACTTATTTGATAAAAAAAGGGTATTCATCTTGAATTGGTTGGTCCAACAATGCCAATACTAGCATCAAATGTCAATGTTGATTATAGTGGTATGGGTTCAGCACTTGCATTACGAGCTGCTGGTTATTTAATAGCAAATATATCTGCTGCTTTTCTACAAAATATTGTTAAAAAACATTCTGAAGGTCTTCTTATATGTGCATTTGTTTTACCTGCTATTGGTAATATTTAACAATTTAATAAATAATTAATTATTTTAAAAACAATTTTTATTTAGCTGTATTTTCAACATCATTTGTCACATCATTTATAATAATGTGTTTTTTATTTTTTATCCAAGGTGTTGCTCAAGGTCTTACAGATTTAGGTTAGTTTTTATTTTTTTTATTTCAATATATATATATATTTACATTTAATCTTAATTAAATCCAAAGTATATAACATATTATTGTTTTATTTGAAAAATCATTTTAATATATATATTATTATTGATTAATATTCAATTAAACTTAATAGATGTTTAACAAGGTCGATACTTTTTATTATTTAGACAATTTCGAATATATTTAAATTTATTTTTAATTGAAATGTGTCTTTAGTTAAATTTGAATTTAATTTAAATAAAAAAAAAAAACATAATATTTTATATAAAATATATTTATTGATAAAAGTAAAAAAGTCTTTTAAATCTAGGTGGAACAAATATATTATTAACAATGTGGGGTGCAAATGCAGCAGCTCCATTAAATTCTGCTCACTTAGGATATGGAATTGGTGCTGTTATTGTTAATTTACTTGTTCGTCCATTTCTTAGTCAAACATCATCATCATCATCGAATAATTTAATAAATAATAATGAAGAAATAAATTCAACATTATCATCTGTTGATTCAAGATTAACTAAATCATCTATTGTTATACCTTATTCAATAACTGCATTATTATGTCTTTTAACTGCTGGTGGACATTTATTTTTCTACATAAAAGAACAAAAAAGTCAACGAGAAAGATTAGAAATCGAACAGGTTAAAGATAAAATAATTCTAAAAAAGAAAAAACAAATGTGAATAAAATAAATTTAGGCTGATTATGCTGCTGTAAGTACAAATCAAACAACTGAAAGTCATTTACGAACTAAAGATAATTATTCTCCATATTCTCCTCGTACATGTGGTCGAGGATTTTTTCAATATGGTTTAACACTTTCAATTATATTTATTTGTTATACTTTTTTTATTGGTGGAAATGATCAAACATTTTCAAAATTCTTTTTTACTTATCTTAAATCTGACAAATTTAATATATCAACTCAAACTGCTATATCGGCAACTATTTTATATTGGCTTTCATATTCTGTATGTATTATTTATTTATTTAGTTATTATTATCATCAAAATCATTTTATATTCGAACATAGATAAATATAATTCACTTTATATTTACAAATAATTTATAATATTTTAAAAAGAAAATATCATTTTCATTAAAATGATTTCTTTTTCAAAAAACTGAACATTGAATATAACAATTTCTAGTATGATAAATTTTCATTATAATAAGGATAAAGATTTTTTTCTATTAATAAGACTTGATCAGATATCGAAATTCATTCATATGATATATATAACAAGAAAACGATTTCATTAATCGAACTCATATCAATATATATCAGTTTTTATTCTAGAGACTAATAGAAAATTCTTCAAGCCTTTTATTCTCTCGAATCAGTTAAATTTTTTTCTAAGCCGTTTTGTTTTTCTTCATTTTTTTATTTGATTTTTGTCTTTCAGTAATTAGTTTTTGTCAGATTCTTTTCGAAATGTTTCAATGGTTTATTTATCTACCCAGATCAAGCTTTACGACGACCAGATACGATCGTATACGGCGAAAATACGCCCGTATTTTGCCGTGCGGTAACCGGCATAACACGACAACAGTAAAACGGCCGTATTTGCACCGTAGCACGAAACCATTTCCGACATACACGGTTGTATATGTCAGAGTTTACCGTCGTAATATCATCGTATACGGCTGTATACGCACCTTTCAAAAAAGATCTTTAAAGATCTTTTTTTTTATGAAAATAGTATTAAAGTCTCAAAAATACCTTCAAATAAGGTAACTTGCAAAAAAAAAGATATATAAAGATATTTTTCCATCAAAATAGCTATTGCAATATCAAAAATACCTTAAAAATAAGATACGCTCCAAAAGAAATCTTTAAAGGTCCATTTTCCTTCGCCCGGAATTTTGATGGATGTGGTAACTTGCGTTTGGTGGTTGGAAGAAAAACCAATAAGAACTAGTATAGCGTCTGGCCGCATAATTACAAGTGACAGAATAGTAGGGTATATAACTGTCGAAGATTGGAATTTGTGATGGATTTTGGTATCTTTGTGTGGGTGCGCTATTTGAAGTCGCGTTTTCTGAGGCGTGTCGCTGACAATGGTGCGTAAGGTTGTTTTTCATTAAAAGCTGTTCTATTCGTTACTCTTTGGTGATAATGGAATTTTCTTTGAAATCCTGAGTTCCTTGAGCTGCTCCCACCTCCCCCTCCCTTCTATTTTTCGGAGCGTTGGTGTCATATTTGTCGGTTTTGAAAATAGATCGGTCTATGTCTGAAAGCTGCTTTTGTGAAGTGGATTTATAAACGATTTCAATTTTTTGTTCTTCCCTACCTCTGGATGTGTCACATGCCACTATTATCTACTGTGTGACTTGAATGATCTGAAATATGTCATGCACTGATAAACATATAGGATGAGCCTATATAAAAAACGACTAAAAACGTCCGATTATAACCGGATCATTAATATCAAAAAAATCGATTTTTAACACATGTTACTCATACCTGTCTTATGACTCGGATGAACTCTAACAGGCAGTGCACTCATATATATATATAAAGTAGACAATGTCTCAAAAAGAATGAAAAAAGTTCTGATTGTAATTGGATTATTCATACTCAAAAATGGATTTTTACGGATTAAAAGTAAAGCTGATTAAAATATATTATTGCATTGAATTTGATCGACAATCTTTATATGTACTCAATGTTTTCTGATGATTTTTTTTT